GGTCCTGCCTGCTAGCAATGAGATCATTTGATCAGAGCCATTTATATCGGAGAGAGCCAATTTTGACGTATTTGTATTCGATCTGAAGAGTTGCATGTGTGGCTCATAATGAGTACTTTTATTAATCAATTAATGGATCCGCGGCATGTGGTTGCACTCTACTGAACCCCCTTCTTTTTGCAGGTAGTGCGGTTGCTTAAACTGGACAAACAGAACATCGCAGGGGTTGGACATAGAGTAGTGCATGGTGGGGAGTCGATCACTGGACCCATGCTTATCGATGACAGTCTGAAAAAGGCCATTGTTCGCTCTACACCGCTTGCTCCACTTCACAACCCACCTAATCTGCAGGTGAGAGGGTGTTGCCGTATCTTCGATAAGAAAGCCCCAGGAATTTTTATAATTCATAATTCATACTTTTCATTTTGTGCAACATGTTTTTTTGAGGAGCAGGACATCTGCAAAGCTTTTTGAAACGGAGGGGGAGAAACACACACACACACACACACACACACACACACACACACACACACACACACACAGAGCACTGTTTTCTGTCGGTGTCCATGTGTGTGTGTGTGTGTGTGTGTGTGTGTGTTGGGGGGTTTATCGTGGGAGAAGGTGCAATACGTCTTCACTGAGTTTTGAGATGGCCGTCAGAAATTATGATGACGGCTTAACAGACGCATATGCTTATTTGTGCGTGTGGGTAGGGTCTAGTGGATATATCATGTTCAGAACTGAGAGACCGTGAGAGTCTCTGTTTGGGGACTGGTGGTTTCATGTTTCTTCTTAGGACTCTCATGGTCTCTGTTCGGAAACATTTGCTGGCATGGTAGTTTGAAGAGCAGGTCAGGATGAGTGTGCCAGTCTATGGGGTCAGTCAGGGTGAGTTTGCCAGTCTATGGGGCCAGTGTGCCAGTGTATGGGGTATCTCTGTCGGTGTATGGTCATTCTGAAGAGTCTGTCATTGCACGATCTGATATTCCCTCCAGATGATTGCTTTTTTTTTTTTTTTTGGTTTCTTATTGTATTGTTTTCCAGCGTCGTGGATGAGAATGTAGTAGAACGTCTGAGAGATGAGATCATGACACTAGCCCTGAATTCTCCCTCCCTTCTTTTTTTTAAATCGGTGTTTTTTTGTGTTGTGTAGTGTCAGGTTCTGAGGAAAAGGAATTCGACTGACGCTCCCCGAAATGGTTATGGAGCCAGGTCCATAAGGTTGTGTGTTTCTTTGAAAAAAACGAGAAAAAAGTTTTGTTGGTCTGTTTTCTGTTTGTGGCATCTCAAGTTGTTTGTTTTGCGGTGTCTCAATTTGTTTGTTCGTATCTGATAAGGAGTTTGTGGTGTCTGTGTTTGGTTGTGGCAGGGTATTCTGGTGGTAGAACAGTTGTTCTCTTGCCCACAACAAGTAGCTGTGTTTGTTTTGCGGTATCTCAATTTGTTTGTTCGTATCTGATAAGGAGGTCATGGTGTCTTTGTGTTTGGTTGTGCCAGGGTATTCTGGTGGCAGAACAGTTGTTCTCTTGCCCACAAGTAGCTGTGTTTGACACAGCCTTCCACTGCACGATGCCCCCAAAGGCGTACACTTATGGCGTGCCATACGCTCTTTATGAGGAGCTTGGTCTGCGTAGGTATGGGTTTCACGGAACGAGCTTTTACTACCTGACGGGCGAGTCTGCACGGTTGCTGAATAAGCCCAAGAACAAGGTGAACCTCATCATCTTCCATCTGGGAGCAGGAGCAAGCATGGCAGCAATCCGGAACGGGGAATCCATCGACACGACGATGGGCGTAACTCCGCTCGAAGGGCTGATGATGGCGACGAGGTCGGGTGATATTGATCCTGCCATTTACAAGCTTCTCTCAGATCAGAAGGGCATGAGTGTGGCAGAGATTGACACGATGCTTAACAAGGAGAGCGGTTTGGTCGGAGTGTGTGGGGAGAAGGACATGCGGCGCGTGCTCGACAAGGCGGGTAATGGAGACGAGGGTGCCAAGCTCGCGCTTGCGGTTTTCATCCATCGGATCAGGAAGTACCTGGGTGCTTATTACGTGCATCTGTGCGGAAAGGTGGATGCTCTCGTCTTCAGCGCGGGGATTGGAGAGAGGTCGGCGCCTATCAGGGCGTTGGTGTGTGAGGGCTTAGAGGAGCTGGGCATTTCCATTGATGAGAAGAAAAACAATGAGAGCAGGAAGGATGGCAGAGAAATTCAGAAAGATGGATCGAAGATCAAAATTCTGGTGGTACCGACAGACGAGGAGCTGTCCATTGCCCAGCAAACACTGTCTGTGATTGAGAAATTGCCAGGAGATGGTCCCGGGCGTTAAACGGCGGGCGGAAATGTAGGAAGGTAGGTATGTAGAGTTGGTGGATGGCTAGGTAGGTAGACCGTTGACTTGCAAAGCTAGTTTATGGTATTATTCTGTGAGCCTTTTACGAGTATTCTCTGCTGCTCTGTGCAGATCGTGTCTGTGTCATTATTATTTGTTGAGCATTCTGCCAGATGGAAGTTCGGTGTGGAGAAAGAAAGAAAGATTATGAGGATGTTACAGAAGACACTGACATGTGCTGGGGAAGGGGGGGGGAGAGTGTGTGTGCGTGTGCGTGTGTGTGTGTGAGAGAGAGAGAGAGAGAGAGAGAGAGAGAGAAGGTGGAAGTTGCAGAGTGTGTGTGTGTGTGTGTGTGAGAGAGAGTGAGAGAGAGAGAGAGAGAGAGAGAGAGAGAGAGAGAGAGAGTTTTTTTTACTAATCCATTCAGTTTTCAAGGTATTCATGGAGGCAAACCTTTTCGGACTGACTAGAAGCCATGCGAGGAGGAGTTACTTCATTTTTTCTCTTTCTTGTATGGTGGTTATCTAAATTCTCTGTGAGTCTCCCACAGTAGTTGTTTCATCTGATATGCTTGGTGTAGGTGTTCGAGGACCTTTTGAAGGTGTTCAGTACTTGCAGAGGTGAATAATACTGTATGTTTTCATATCCATGTCCTATGGTTTCACTTTTTTTGGGACTTTTTCGGAATCTTTCCTGCTCTTCGGGGATTCTTTGTTTAGAAACTTTATTTGCTATTCCTTATGAGAGTGTCAATGCATATGAGGAAGGTGGTTGTGGTCGTCCATGTGACCTTCGTTCTTCATCCATGCCTTGCCTTGTGATCTTCTCCTTCTTCATTACCCTCCTCGTGTAGGTTTCTCCTTGACGCCCGTTGTTGAGTTTTTTTTCCCTTCTTTTTATCCTCCTCAATGGGTTTTTTGTCTGCTTCTCTCCTCCTCCTCCTCCTCCTCCCTCAGATCTCTCCTCCACACCCTTTGCGCATGTTTCTTCTGTTGTACACCTAATGACTGATGTGTTAGTGGCAGTGGCTGCAGGGTTGCTGGGCTGTCCTGGTCGGACGAACTACCGTCTTCACCCGAATTGATCGCCCGGTCATTATAACTGTATTTGGCACAGCTTTCAGCCCAGATACGACGATAGTTACCGGGCGCTCTATTCGGGTGAAGACGGTAGGAAGATCTATAGGTGAGATACCTCCTGTCTGAAAAGTGAAAACTCTGAACGAGGAAAGATCTACGCGAGAGAGACCTCTCCTGTCTGAAAACTCTGCACGAGTTTAAGGAAAGATCTACCTACGCCAGAGCATTTTTCGAATTGGGACCTTTTATGGATGTATGTTTTTATGTTGTGTTGTTTCTAGAAAGTTGTAGAAAACTATGTCTGGCTCAAGAGGCATTTGCATTCGCATTGCGCACACTGAATATTTGCACTCAACCATGGGCATCGTCATCACACAGAGGAGAGAACAAAGAAAAGAAAAAGAGACGAGGAGATGGAAAGAAAGAGATACACACCCTGCACGGGCGTTCTTCAGGGGGTCTTACTAGGACAATATATATTTGCATTCGAAATTTTCGATTTTGTCCTTATTATTTGCATTCGAAAATTTGTCCTTGTTATTTGCATTCGAAATTTTGTCCTTGTTAACCCAGACCCGACAATGGGCCATGATCGAAGAACCTAACATAAGATATGGCTATGAACTCGAACGTGTTTACTTCGGCGGCATGCAACCCTATTATGTCTTTTGGTCGGTCGCCGTGCTGTCTTCTTCAGGGGTCTGAGTGATGTCGTAAACCTACCTACTCTAAAATTCTCTAAATACTTGTGTTCGCAGTTCTAATGTCATTGCAATGTCCCTGTTCCACCCCTCGTCGGGGCACTGGCGGTCATCAAAAGTGATAGGGGTAATAAAATAGATAATAAGAGTATAGATATGAACTAAAATAGTAAATAGTAATAAAATAATTAAAATATGCCTGCAAAAGGCACCCAATCCTAGCCTGCAGGGGTCTACCACGACCCCTCGATATCCAAATTAAATTAACAGCTTACAGTTGTCTGCAAAAGTCACCCAAGCCTAGCCTACAGGGGTCTACCAGGACCCCTTGATATCCAAATTAACAGCTTACAGTTGTCTGAAAAAGTCACCCAAGCCTAGCCTACAGGGGTCTACCACGACCCCTCGATGATAAGTTGCCAGAGATAACAACTGGAGAAGCACCCGACTGTTACCTCGATTTTTGTACCTTGGTTATACCGACGAAGATCCAGTGGTCCGATCGCGATCCTGCTGGGGACCAGATCCAGTCCCGAACCTCACACAGCTGATTCAGAGAGGAACAATAGCCGACCAATCAACAAACAGAAATAAAGTGTGTTAGTAGTCCCCTGTCCTGAAGTCTTTCCGTTCCAACCGCGTCCCCAAGTATCGTAATGTCTCTGGAAAGTAACGTGCACAACTCGAACTCCCACTTCACCGCTTCCCTTCGCTGGTGCTTTTTTCAATTTTTTTTTGTCCAGAACTAAATTCCCATTGGACCGATGCCTATGAGCCTTCAAATTTTCTCAACTATTCCCATCGCCGTCTCCCTGGATGATGCCGCCTCCTAACAATGTAGTTTACGGACCACCGCCTCTCCTGTACAATGTAGTTTACGGAACACAGCCTCTCCTTACAATGTAGTTTACGGAACGCCGGCTGCTTACAATAGTTTACGAAACGCCGCCTCCTTAACAATAGTTTATGAAAATGGAAACATCCTCAACCATACATATACAATCATGAACCCAAGAAGGATCCAGACCAAGCCCCTCGTTTGTTGTCCTCTTCTCTCTCTCTGCCTACGGTTTACCGGGCAGTTCTGTTTGTGACGTATATATATATATACTTCTCCCTCTCTGCCTACGGTTTACTGGGCAGTTCTATTTGACGATATATATATATATATATATACGGTTTACTGGGCAGTTCTATTTGACGATATATACAGTTTGTCACAGCCCCTCGTTTGTTGTCCTCTTCTCCCTCTCTGCCTACGGTTTACCGGGCAGTTCTATTTGACGATATATACGTCACAAACAGAACTGCCCGGTAAACCGTAGGCAGAGAGAGAGAAGAGGACAACAAACGAGGGGCTGTGACGAACTGTTTATATATATATATATATATAGTCAAACAGAGCTGCCCAGTAAACTGTAGGCAGAGAGGGACAAGAGGGAGAAGAGGACAACGAACGAGGGGCTGTGATGAACTGTTTCATCGGAGTTTCAGCAACTCATTAGGAGGCTATTTGCATCGTGAAGTTGTGTGGTAGTGGATGATGCTGCGTTGCAATTGCGTCGTGAGTGTCGACATGAATTGCGGAGGATTTGCGGAGTGAGGAGGTTACCCGCGAGTGTCAGGCCTCTGATGAGCCGGTGAAATTCCGGCGAAACACTCACTGCTCTTGTTTGGGTTAGGCAGTCTCAATGGGTCGGGAATGGGTGGGGGCAGCTGCCACTCAACCTACATCCACGTGAGGTTCTGAACAGGGGGAGTTGTAAGGAAGAAGATTAAAAATGAATTAAGTTTTTGTTGTTCTCCTTGTTTTCTTTCTTGTTTTGCTTCGGCGCTCTGATATCATGTGACTATATATATATATATATATATATATATCATCATCAAATATATATACATCGTCAAACAGAGCTGCCCGGTATAATAGGCAGAGAGGGAGAAGAGGGCAACAAACGAGGGGCTGTGACAAACTCATGGAGTTTCACCGATTGAGTCATCAGGAAGCTGAACCCTCAACAGTCTGCAGAATTCACGTAAGTGATAATCCACACCTTAACCCCGATTGTGGTTAAGCATCAACGACTGCCGGACAATTGATACCCTGAGGTGGTGGGGACCACCAACCACTGCCCTCAAGTTACGTGTGACAAAAATTAAAGCAGACTTTCACTCACCCACACCAGATGGAAAAGTCTACAGACTGTCGCTTCACAACCCATCACAAGCCACGAAACAAAGAAAGGTCTGTCACAGCCAAAAAACACACTCCAGACATGGATGGGGGGGCACCCCCCCTTAAACCCCTTTTGAATGTGTGTACCGATCAGACATTTGTGACCATCCTCCCAAGTCCTGTTGAACTGGTGGTGACCACTACTGAATAGTACAAACGTGTAATGGCGAGTAAAAAACTGCTCAGGAACTCGAATCCTCCGATGGAATGGACGCACTGCAGACTCGAATATGAGCATGTTAGGAAGCACCCAAGCTGTCAAAGAAAAAGAAGTAAAAAAGGAAAAAGAAAAAAAGAGAAGTTTACAAGTTTAAAAGCCGTCGATGGATTAGGGAATGCACTGGACAGTACGGCCTCGCTCGGCGACTCTTGAAATGTGCAAAACAAGAGCAAAACTTCCACCAGAAGATGGAAAGATACATGGCCATGATTTTTGTCTTTTGTTTACGTCGAGAGTCGTGGAGTGAGGCCCCGGAGTACCGCCGACATACGCCATTTACTGCACGTGAGGAGACTTCGCCAGGTGGTACGAGAAAAGCGGATAACAGAGCCCTAAGTTTTCAGAGTTTTCAGGGTCAAGTTTTCAGTGCAGGGGGCGTCAACCAGGGCTGCGAAGTGGGGGTCCCTGTTAACCGCTTGTGTGTGGCCATCCTATTGGTTTGAATGGGGATGAGTTTGCACCACCTCTCTCTCTCTCTTTCGTGGTGGATATAACGGCGGCTACGACCACAAAGTCACCTGGGTGAGTCCCAAACGGAAAACGTGAAAGATGGTGGCCGCAAACATCCCAGAGTTGGCATTTTTTTTTTTTTTTTTTTTTTTAATGCGTCATTGTTATGCATCTTATCATATACTTGCAAAGTCAAAAAAGGTTAAAAAACATTAAAAAACCGTTTAAAATGGCCATGCAAAGGAAACGTGCTATTGCTTATATTCGATGCCCCCCTCCCCTCCCCCCTCCCCCGTGCTTACAGTGCGTGCTTGCCCCTTTTCCTTGACCCCACTGCATGTATGGAGATTCCCTGAACAGTCTGCACTGCTGCTCGATTTATGTGTGTGTGTCATCTTTGCGCAGACGAGGTCTAACTGGTTCATGAGATTCTCATGCGCGGCCAGGCACTCTGGTGTGACACCAGGGGGGTCTGACGCCCGGGGTACCTGGGCGTGCAAAAAGAAAAAGGAAGTTCAAAAAAAAAGTTTTTTTCTTTTTTTGTGGTTTTCGGCGCACTCCCAAATCCAGGCTCTTTTTTTTTTTTTTTTGCGAGTTGGCTGTCAAGGGGGGGGGGGGGGGGGTAAAAATGGGTTTTAAGGGGAATAAGGAGGTAAAAAGGGGGTGGGTTTTTAGTTTTTTTGTTTTTTTTTTTTTTTTTTCTTTTTTTGTGGTTTTCGGCGCACTCCCAAATCCAGGCTCTTTTTTTTTTTTTTTTGCGAGTTGGCTGTCAAGGGGAGGGGGAGGGGGGTATAAATTGGTTTAAAGGGGCTAAAGGGGTTTAAAGGGGAGTAGTGCCTTTCTCCGATTCTGTGAGGAATTCTAATGTGACCCTCAGCCAAAAGTCGTTTGTATTTCAATTCTACACAACATATTGTTTTTTTTTCCCGATTTTTTTTTTGGGCGCTGATGGCTGCCCGGAAACATAACTACACGGTCTACACCCAAGATCCTTAGCTCAGTGGGTACACACTTGAACTGCTAAAATACAGACCTGTGTTT